AGAGAGAGAGAGAGAGAGAGAGAGAGAGAGAGAGAGAGAGAGAGAGAGAGAGAATGAGAATCTGTTCACTCTTTGGCCTTAAGAGAGAGAGAGAGAGAATCTGTTCACTCTTTGGCCTTAAAATCTCCTATGGCTTCTATTCTGCTTAAAATCCAAACGCTCATCATGGCCCTGCACATGGCCGTGTTCATAACCACAGTCTCAACACCTCCGACGTTCTCCCTCCCTGCCGTAACTACCCTGACTTTGCTTCCTTTCTAGACTCTACCAACAGTGATACCTACCGACCTTCGCTGTTGCTGTGGGACCACAGAAATGACCTTCCCCTCGCCTCTGCAGACCCAGGCTGGGATTCATGGGTCAGACCTTCCCTGACCCTTGACCTAGTAACAACCTATTCCCCCCCACCCCATGCCTCTGCACCTCCCATCAGATCGTCCTTCACTCCATCCTTGGTAGCTCAGGCACCACTGAGGTGACCTTCATTGCTCACAGGGCTGCTCTCTGTCTCCCCCCAGGAGTGGAAAATTTCCCATCCACATGTCCTGCTGGCGGAGAGGGAAGGGAGCAGAGAGAAGAAAGACCTCAACAAGGATTTGGTCTAAAATGCTCAGGAGTATTTTAATTACCTCGTTCATCGCCAGAAACTGTAAACTTGTGTGGACTCTGACCTGTCCACAGTCCGACATAGCCAACAAAAGTGGTCCCCGTGAAGGCAATCTGAAATTAAGGGGAAAAAGCGTCATTTACCACCCAAGGGAATGCATGTTGACATCACTTAATTCCCCCACACTTTCCTGCATTGTTTGTTTGTTTGCTGAGACAGTACCTCACCAGGTAGGCCTGGCTGGTCTGGAACTTGCTATGTAGACCAGGCTGGCCTCGAACTCACAGAGATCCGCCTGGCTCTGCCTCCTGAGTTCCGGAATTAAAAGTGTATGCCACCATACCCAGCTTCCTGGATTTTTTTTTTCTTCTCTTAGAGATTTCAACATAACAGAATGAAACTCTGAAACAGCATTCTAGAGCAAGGGTTCTTAACCTTGTCGGGAGAGGGGTCCATGGACAGAATTCAGCAAATGAAATGGATGGGGTGGGGTGGGCAGCCTTCCTTTCCCTAATCAAACTAGACCACACTGCTTTTTTGTTTTGCTTTGTTGTTTTTTCTTTGTTTTTCCGAAACAGTGTCTCTCCATGTAGCCCTGGCTGCCCTGGAACTTGCTCTGTAGCCCAGGCTGGCCTCAAACTCACAGAGATCCGCCTGTCTCTGCCTCCCGAGTGCTGGGATTAAAGGCGTGCGCCACCACCACCCGGCTCTGCACACTGCTTTTTAGTGGATATACTTGGTAAAGCAAAGCATGAAGTAATGGCGGTGCCTGTGGTCTATCAGAGGACCTCGCACCAGCAAGGACACAAGTGACAGTGGTTTGCAGGTGACTTACACCCCCACCCGAGGGGTCACTATGCAGGAGTCATGGGAGTGACTGTTTCTACCGCTTTGCATTCCGCGTGTCTATGAAACACTGTTCACCCAGAAGACTTCCATTCTGAAAGTAGGAAATGGAGTCCGACTGGAAACATGTTTTGGGTTCACGACAAGGGACAAGCACTCTACATTTATAAGGTCTGTGGAATTAAGGGGGACAAGTGAACTGGCTCCCCAGTAACAGCCAGATTAAAGCTCAAATGCTTTAAAAGTCACCCTACATCCGGCTTTCGTTTAACACAGCAACCGTCACCGTAAACCAAGTCACAGGCTGAGGTGGTGCAGAGGGCCATGGCAATGACCTTCAGGCCCAGGCTTTGTTCACTCACGGAAGCATCTGGAAGAGTGCACAGTTTGTGCTGTTTACAACGGCTAATATTTTTATATTAAATAGACCTAGATTGGTATTTTTATTTTTAAAACAATATTATACTAATAACCTTGTTCACTGGGTTACTCAAATTTGCTTCATCTGGCTGTGAAAGTAACTTGGGTGACTGAACTCTAAGGGGAAGACGGCCTTAGTTTTCTCAATGACCTTTCTTTCCCCCAGACTCCCGCCCCCCCCCCCAGTGCCTCCGTGAAGGCTCCCTATCGCCACCCACAGGAGTGTGGTGGGAGTGCATTAGCCCTGCAATTAAAACCAGAGGGTTGGCTCTGTGCTTAAAGAACATACTGCTCTTGCAAAGAAAGGACCAGACTCCAGGCCCTGCACCCACGTGGGCAGCTCACACCAGCCTGGAACTCTAGATCACTGTGCTTACACTCAGACACACATGCATTCACAATTAAAAATAAACAGCCCTTCCATGGAGTTACAAAAAACAATTAAAAGACTTGCTGTTGGGGCTGGAGAGATGGCTCAGAGGTTAAGAGCACCGACTGCTCTTCCAGAGGTCCTGAGTTCAGTTCCCAGCAGCCACATGGTGGCTCACAGCCATCTGTAATGAGATCTGGCACCCCTCTTCTGTATACATAATAAATAAATCTTTAAAAAATATATTTATAAAAAAAAAAAAAAAAAAAGGTACCCTCAGTACATCACACTGTCCATACAAATCCTCGAATCTCACAAACCACTCTGAATGCTAAAAATATGAAACAGTGTAGAAATCTGTAAGTTAGGATGCCCCACTGGCCCGAGTCTGTCCACGGCTGCAGGCGGTCGGGAGACTGGGAGATAATTACTTTCACTGGCTTTGCCCAGAACAAACTTTGTCTTTCATATGCCCCAGCTCAGAGGGTAGGTGAGCCTGCTCAGGTGAAATCAGCTGTCCTCTTGAGGCGGGCAGATTCTGCGTCTTAACCCTCAGTGGTGGCATGTGCTGCAGACCAGCTTTACTGGCAGGGCTTCTGACACGGTGTGTGAACCCTGTCAGGAGGACTGGGGAACAGGATGATGGGTTAGCAGGATCTCCAGTCGCAAGGCCGTCCTGGGGCTCTCTTGGCAGTCCGTTTGTTGGACGTGTAAAGGAGAGAACATGGTGTTCACATTGCACAGGAAAAGCCTCCCCAGACTACAGTTTCTCTAGAAAGATCCACGCTACCAGAACCAAACTGAAACTATTAAAAAAAAAAAAAAAGATAGATGAAGCTCCATTTGTATCCCAGTGCACATGACTTACATATTTATACACACACACACACACACACACACACACACACACACACACACACGTATTTATTTATTTCACAGCAGTCACAGGCTGCTGGCTCCCATGGCCTCTCAGGATGACCACAGGCTTAAAGGAAGTAATCTCAGATGGACTTTGATGAGCCCTTTGATTGGATTTGGGAGATCAATGACAGGTCTGATGAAAACACAAAGAGCATGTACGTCCAGGCACCAGGAAGAACAGAGCTGCCTCCCAGAGGATGAAAGTGAGAAGCTGAGGATTGGGTAAAGACATCTGAAACACCCGTCGTGACCCGCAGAGACCGCAGCACACTCACAGAGCACGCATCAAGAAATCTCACACAGGAAGGTGACTGACAGGGCTTTTCAGAAACAGGACGTCTAGCCGGCCACAGTGATACATGCCTGCAATCCCAGTGTTAAGGAGGCCAACACATGAGGACCAAGAGTTCGAGGCCATCTGGGGTACATAGTAAGACCCTGTCTCCAGATAAAACCAGAACAAACAACAGGATGTGGTTGGTGGTGTACACCTTTAATCCTAGAACCCAGGAGGCAGAGGTAGTAGGGTCTCTATGAGTTCAAGACCAGCCTGATCTATATGGAGAGTCCCAAACTACCTAGGGCTACATAGTAGAACCTTATCTAAACAAAACAACAACAAAAAATCTCAATAAGCAAGCAAGCAAACAATCGGTATTACTATTATATAAAAGTTGCTTTTAGCCGGGCGGTGGTGGCTCATGCCACCCTCTGTCATTGAAAAGTGGGCACTTTGCAAGAGAGAACTCCTTCTGTGCTCCTGTGGGTTAGCAGATTCCAGTCAGCCCTACCAAAAGATGCTGCCTTAGGATTTTGTATGGCCTTCAGTTTAAAAAGCTGTCCTCCTGGAAGCCTGTAGTGCTGGAGACAGGCTTTCATTTCTCCAGCTTTACTGGAGAAATGGTGAATAGTAATAAATTAATATTTGGAAAAGAAGTGGAAGAGAACACATTTGTAAACAAATATCTAAACTTCCTAAGCTCCGGAATTTGAAGATGAAGAGGGCAGTGCTTACTTTGGTTTGGTTTGGTGTACCGTAGAGGAGGCTGGGAAGGCTGCTCAGTGCAGACTGCTTAGCTTCTTTGTTCTT